TAACATAAATTTTGTTTTTTAAACATATAATAATATAACTTAGTCGATTTTATTAACAAGTGATGTGATTAGTATATACATATAGTTTGAGATGAAATTGGAATGTTCAAAAAGTTTGGGGACCAATTTAGAATGAATGTCATAGTTTGGGGATGAAATTGTTATGTTCAAAAGTTTAAGGACTAATTTAGACTAATAGTCATAGTTTAGGGGAGAAATTAGAAAATTTAAAAGTTTAGGGACCGATTTAAAATAAGAGTTGTACTTTGAGGACATATGGTTCAATTAACTCTAAAAACATAAAGAAATTTATGGAGGCTGCTGTTAACCGTTGTGAAATTAACCACCTTTTTGGCCACATGCTTAGCACTAGTCATGCCATCCTATAAATGGAGCCCCTACCATCTTTTTTTCTAATTTTCAATCATACATCTCATTTCATAGAATTTAAGCAAACCCCACTAAGTAATTAAATAATTAATCAACTTTATTCTTGTCGTATTATGTCAATCCCTTTTTTAATTATCTTGATTTAATTTCGTTTATGTATTAAGTCTTAATGTCAAACAATTGGGTCTTTTAGATCTTTTCAATTGATATGATACTAATTTGGTGATCAATTTTTTGGTAATCAATGATTCATATGGATATAGGTAACAAATGTTAGAAATTTAACACGAATCAAGTGGTCTCCGTAGTAAAGAAATTATTATTATTCCTTGAGGATGGGTTTGGAACACCATAGATATCAGGGGTGTGAGCGTTCGATGTCCAAAGGTTGAGAGTTTATCTTTAAACAGATATTGCTTTGTACTTACCCAGATTAATAAAAATAAAAAATAATAATTTATTATAAACTTAAATTCATTTATATAAATAAGAGAAAATAACCTCAGTGACCAAAAATGTCTTATAATATACGATTTTAACCAACTTTTTTTGGATTTGCCAAAATGACCAACTAAATCGCAATGCGATCGATAATTCGTAACGCGATCTCCGGTATCGCAAATCAGTTTTCAGATTCGCAACGCGAACTTCGACTATTGCATTGCGATTTACATATTCACATTGCGATAGTCCAAGTTCGCGTTGCGATTTATTCCAAGTTCGTTGCAATAGTCGAAGTTCGCGTTGCGATTTATTCCAAATTCGTTGCGATAGTCCAAGTTCGCGTTGCGATTTATTCCAAGTTCGTTGCGATAGTCGAAGTTCGCGTTGCGATTTATTCCAAATTCGTTGCGATAGTCCAAGTTCGCGTTGTGATTTATTCCAAGTTCGTTGCGATAGTCCAAAATCGCAACGACGGTATTGCATTTGTTTTTTAAGAATTTTCTCTAAAAAGATAGTATTCGCGCGGACGTGTCGAAGACGGTATGACCACGACCCGACTCGACCCGACCCGAGACGAGATGAGACGGACAGCGGCGGCGGCGGCGCGCGAGAGTCCTCCTTGTTCTCTATCACTCAACAAGGAAGTGGGAAAGCCAAGCCTTAAATACCATTCCTAATAGTGTTTCCAATACTATGTGGGATTGAGCATTACCAACACTTGTTCTCAATACTATGTGGGATTGAGCCTTAAATAGTGATATTATTTTTGAATGTTTTGCTTAAAATTGCAATAATCGCGATTGATTGTAGATTGACTTTTAATTATGACATATTTAATCGTATAATACTAATGCAATTGGTTGCTGATTCAGTTGTTTTAAGGTGCATGATTGTTAATTGTTTCCTAAATAATCACATTGTATTGGAAACAAGTGTTGGTAATGCTCAATCCCACATAGTATTGGAAACACTATTGGGAATGGTATTTAAGGCTTGGCTTTCCCACTTCCTTGTTGTGCGATAGTCCAAGTTCGCATTGCGATAGTCGAAGTTCGCATTACGATAGTCCAAGTTCGCATTGCGATAGTTGACTATCGCATTGCGATAGTCCAAGTTCGCATTGCGATAGTCGAAGTTTGCGTTGCGAATCTGGAAACTGATTTGCGATACCGGAGATCGCGTTGCGAATTATCGATCGCATTGCGATTTAGTTGGTCATTTTGGCAAATCCAAAAAGAGTTGGTTAAAATCGTATATTATAAGGCATTTTTTTGTCAATGAGGTTATTTTCTCAATGGGTAGCTTTTAAGATGGTATATAAAAGTTAATGTTGTGGTAGAAAAACTACAATACATTATATATCCTATTAAATTGTTGGTTTTATTTTTAAAATTATTTTTTTCACATGAATTAAAGTCATTTGACTTGTAACACCAATTAACATTATAAATAGTATAAATTATTGGATATATAATAGATTTAATATCACTGTGATAAATAAATTAGTGATATCAAATGAATCAAAAGTATTATAAGTGATATATTTATTTTAAATTTTTTTAAAATGTTGAACTTTAAATATTTAATACCACCAAATGTTTGGATCAACTTATGATAGGAGAGCATTGTTATTCAATACTTATATTTGTATATTAATGGTAAATTAGTTGATCTAATATATGTTAACAATTGTTAGGTGTATATATTGCTCTCAATGTATTAAATACATTGAACTCGTAATTTAAATATATTTATTTCGAGAAGAATAATATCGATTGATTTTTACATCAATATCTAAATATATAAATATTGAAGAGCAGTGTTAACTTCGAAAGGTGTTTATTTCACGATAATACTAATTGTGATAAATTTTCTTCTGAAAAAATGATTCTTCCACCGTACAACTATAATTTGATTTATTTTTATATGATTTATTATTTTAGTCAATATTTATATAGTTTTGGTTCGTTTTAGTATCTAAACTTTCAAAAAAAAATTCAAAATCATACCTAACATTTTTTTTTCATTTTAATATCTCACAATTAAAAAATTTATGCGTTTAATACCTAAAGTATCAGTTCTGGTCTATTCTAGAAGCTAAAATTTCAATTTTTTATAAAATTAACTTTAAGTTTTTAAAGGGTACTAAAATGAAATAAAAATTAAACTTTAAACATAATTTTGAAACAATTAAAAGTTAAATACTAAAACGGACTAAAATTAATAATTTAACGCGTAATTTAGCCTTTATTTTATAACAACCTATTTTTCTAACAAATATATATTTGTATGCACAAAGTTGTTATTTTTAGCTTTATTAAAGGAAGATAATGATGGAGTTTAAATTAGGGTAGGGATTGGAACATGTGTGGGTTAAGAAATTCAAAGCAAAAGGAGAGACTTTGAGAGTGGGAGAGGCAACGTAAAGTTAGCTTAAAACTGGACATCCAATCAGATGCACGTTGTGTCCGGTGGGTGGATGTTGACACTTGTTTCTTCTTTCCATACTTTAACAGCCACTCATGGTTAAATTTCGATAAAATTTCACGTTCAATCAACTTAATATACGACTAATAAAAGACGTTATCGGTTTTATTATTATATTTTTAATAAAATTGGTAAACAATTATCGGAAACATTATTATTTATACCGGTTTTATTATTATTGGGTGCTTTATCGATTTTGTTAACATATCCGGTAAAACGTTACCGATTTTGTTATTTTTTCTACCGATTTTGTTATTATTGAAAACTTTACTGGAAATATTAAAAAATATTAATGTTTTAATAAAAATAATAATATTTTAGATAAATTTTTACCAATTTTATTAAATAAATAATAATAAAATTGATAGCACATTTGTTTAGCCTTATATTAAGGATGTGCACATGAGAACTTCAGTTAAATTCCTCTTGTAAAATGAATGAAATCTCTGTATCATATTTTCATTGTTTTGCATGGACACTTAACTCTCTCACACACACATATATATATATATTCATTGTTTTGAATGGACACTTATCACACACACCACACACACACACACACATATATATATATATATCACACATATTTAAAAACGTTGAAAATAGAAAGTTGAAATTAATGTTTCAATCAAATAGTAACATATGTCGTGACACTGGATGTTAGTAACACATGACATCATTCGATTCGAAGTTTAAATTAATTTTAATTTATTAAAATTAAGATCAAATTGATAAAATATATAAATAATAATGATCAAATATATAACTACACTAAGTCTTTCTACTGCCACATCAATTAAATATTAACGACAAATTACTTGATTTATAACAATTAAATGATCTAATTGAAAAAATTAAAAAGAATGTTCATCAAAGTAAAAAAAATAATAATAATTAAATTATCATAGATATAACTTATCTTAAAAATAATATAATTTTTCTTCCATCATAAATACTAAACTGTAACCCACTCATAACCTGTACACATTGTATCTACCATAAATCAATAAACTTAAAACTTTAACCTTAAATCATTAATCAAAATATAAAATATCAACCGAAGTTGATTCAAGTGATAAATAATTTGATTTAATTTAAGTAAGATCTCGAGTTCAAATCTTTGTGTATGCAAAAAAATCTTGTTGATAGACTCAACCACCAAAGTCAAATGAACATAGCGAGTTGATCTATATTAATAAAAACAAATCTTAGAACCAAAAGGGCAACCAATATAAATAAATAAATAAATAAAATCAAATATCATAATTAATTAGATTCGTATTTTACATGTTTTGATCTATTTGTGTTGTGTACACAAATCAAGTGACCTTCGTGATAAAAAAATTGTTGTTATTCCTTCAAGACTCGGGTTCGAGTACTATAAATATCAAGAGTATGAACCTTCAATTTAAAAGGGTGAGAGTTTATATTTAAACATATATTATAATGTAATTACAACAAATTATTAAAAAAATCTATGTGTTATATAGAATAAATGAGCATGTTATTAAACTCATTTTATGATAGGATACCATGTCTTTACTCTTCCGGTACAATCGAATGTTATTTTGAGAATTAATTAGAAATAAATATTATTTTAATAATTTTTATATTCGGGTAAAAATGCTTAAAAATAATGTATTAAGAGAAGAGGCTATTCGGGGGGGAGAGAGGGGATGATAATAATATAAAATGAAGAAGAATTAATATTAAAAAAAGAGAGAGAAAAAATGATGACACTTGGCATTTGAAAATTAAGTGAATAAAAAAAGCATCAGTGGCCAGTCGGCGGAGGAGCCGAGCTAGAGCTAGTAGCACCGGAGCCAGATAACAGATCGGCGAGGGCGCTCATGGCTCGAACCTGCATCTCAAGAGCCGCTATGTAGTCAGTCGCTTCTTCAAGAATTACCGGTAACGTCTCCTTCCGGCAACCGGGAACCAGTCTGCCAAGAACCTTTACTTTCCTTTGAACGGTCGGCACACTCTTCGCTTTCAATTTCAAAACACTAACTCTCGGTTTCTTCGACCGGCTAGTCCTGGTTACAGCAGCCACGGCAGCGGCGGTAGATCCTCTGTGCGCCGATCTCTTATGCTTCCGAAATTTCAGCTTAAGCCGGCTCGTCAAAATGGCGCGGCTCCACCTCGTTCTCCCTTTAGCAGCAACTGCCAAGGCTCTATCAGCGGCTTCACGGACGGCTCGACCGCCGCGCGGAGCCGAAGGAGAATAAGGAGTAGTAGTACCATTGAGATTGATTTGGCTCAAAGCTTGGAGAAGCTTAGAGGAATAGATTTGCTGCTGCGCCTCTGATTTCCAGGCGGCGTGGCTCGACTTTTGGTGTTGACTCGCTTTCATCATCGAGTTGTTCTTTTTCCTTTTGATACGATCAGAATTTGTTGTGTTCGTCACCGGATTCGTCATCAACGATGCCATGTCTCACCGGACCAAACGCCCTTATTCACCGTACGATACGGCCAATTATAATCGAAACTGAGGAAAAAAGGAATTTATAATTTTAGAAGAAGAAAAAGAGATTCTAATCGAAATTCTGTGAAGAAAAGAGGGAATTTGTTACCAGTGATGAACACAAGTGGACTTGGGAGCAAAAGGAGAACGGAACGGAACGGTGTTTGATTTTTTTTTTGAAAAGTGTTTGCTTATTTAGAGATGGAGAGGTGGGGGTTTGGTTATAAGGCAAAAAACAGGAATGGGATGAGAGCAAGCGTTGAGTTTACTTGTGAGGGCTTTGGCTTTATTATTTATTGCTTTTGGGGGTTTGGTTTTTGTTGGTGCGACCTTTGGTAGCGTCTGAGGGTCGGTCCGGTTGAGCACATAGGGGTTCATCTTGACTTAGAAGTATGACACTAGATGGGACAAAAAGTTGTGAGTTATTTAAGATTGATTCTGTTAAAATTTGATAAATATTCGAGCTCAAAATAAATTTTTAAAAAATCGAAACGAACTACTTGATATTCGACTCTAAAAGTTCATGAATGATTCGAAAATATAATATATTGTTTTTAAAAATGGTAAATCGTTAATATTATTAACATTTATGTGTTGTTTTTTAAAAAAATATTGTATAATGTTTGCATGTATATAAAGTTCGAGTTCGAATTTGAGGCTTCAATCGAGTTATTTTTAAGATTTTTTTTTTCGTTTTGAACTTTTACCTGTTTCAATTCATGATTTATAGTTCAAGTCGAGCTTCAAAATTTTAAGCTTACGAAATTTCAAATCGAATCTAGATCCATTTTAGAATTTTTTGAGTCCAGTTGAGCTCCACAATAACTCAAGTTTGACTCGATTCATTTACGACCCTAATTAAAAGGACAAAGTGGATATTAATTCAATGGAATAAAGTATAATTAATAGCAGAAATTAAGAGGTGCAAATAAAACTAATGGGTTGTTTGTTTACTTCAGAATGATTAAGCGTTGAATGATTCGGAGGCTCTGAATGATTTGGCTCTGAATGCGACATGCTGTTTGATAACTGGCTCTGAATGATTCAGAATGTACTTCTATGCTGAATCATTCAACACTGTTTTGTTGAATCAGTCAACACTGAATCATTCAGAGGTGTGAAACAAAAGCGCTGAATGCTGAACGGTTCAACATTCAGCGCTGAATGATTCCATTAAGAGTCAAACAAACAACCCCTAAATTAAAACTAAGATATCTATCTATAGATCAATAATAAAAAATAGTCCAGTAAATGAAACAAATGAACATAAACGAGGATATGTTCATATTCGTTCGTTTAACTTTAACCGAACGAACATGACCGAACGAACATGAACAACTGAACGAACGTAATTTCTTGTTCATGTTTGTTTATTAAGAAATTTAGCTTGTTTGTGTTCTTTCGTTTAAATGATAAACAAACACAAATAAACATAAAATTAATTGGGCTTATATTTGAAAAGAGTTTTTTCTTTTCATATAATTTTAAGATTTATTTTTTTTAATTGAGCTTAAAATTAATTGGGTTTAAAATTATTAATGGATTTAAAAAATAAACAAATGTACATAAGCGAACATAAATGAACATAAATGAACGGACATAAACGAGCTGATTATCAAACGTTCACAAATGAACAAACCTTTTGTTCGTGCTCATTCGTTTAATTAAACGAACATAAATTTTTTTATTAGGCCTGTAAACAAACTGAACGTTCAACGAACCGTTCGACGAGAAGTTCATTTATGTTTGTTTATTTATTAAACGAACTTAGGCCTGTGAACAAACTGAACGTACACATTCTAGACATTTTTTATGCTCGAATCGGGGAAAAGATTTAAGAAATTGTATGCTAGTATTATGGTTAATTAACTCTTTACTCCAAAATTTAAACAAATTATTTGGCTTTGATTCTATAAATTTTGGATAAAGTCAATTTAGATTGAATTAGTTTTAAAATATTTAGATTGATTAAGATTTGAGTTTTTTAAGGTGTGTATGGTAAGTTTAAATGATTGGTTAAACTTTAATAAATTTCTTAAAATGTCAAAAAATGTTGATTTAATTTTAAATTATTAATATAAAATTCTTTATATTTAATAAACTAAGTTTTTAGAATTTTAGTTACAAATATTGTATAAATAAATATATGTAGTAAAGGTAAAAATCCTTTTCTTCTGTCGCATAAAATATATACTACACTTAATATTTAATAAAACTATTTCCCAACACTTAACATCGGGGTGGTGGCGCAGTTGGCTAGCGCGTAGGTCTCATAGCTAATGAGTGATCCTGAGGTCGAGAGTTCGAGCCTCTCTCACCCCATTGCCTTTTTTCCCCCCAAATGTTAATCAACACTTTTTTAACTTTATAAGGCTAATTAATCAACTCAAAACCACTTCAGTTATTTGGGGACGTTAATTTAACCCAAAATTGATGGATTATGAGCCAATTTGTATACAAGTACTAGATATAATGTATTTAAATTTAATTATAAAAAAATAACATAAAAGTACACAATTTGTTTGGGGGGAGTAGTGATGAAAAAAGCAGTACATTTGTTCCAACCTAAACCTAGTGTTGTTGAAGATGATAGGCTCCATGAATTCATGTCCATGAGCAGAGTACACTGGGTGAGAATGAATTTTACAAATCCTAACCGGTTTGCTAAGAAAGAAGATGGGATGGGGACTGCTTTTGGTAACAATTTGGTGTGGAACCTTCGGAAGTACTCTAACACCCCTCAATCCGTCCTCACATGTGATGACAGAACAGGTTCGGAGTACCACAAGTCCGACGGTGGTTAAATGGCAGGTACCAGAACTGGGTAGCACAAATTGAATGTTGACGGGGCCGTGAGATCAGTTTGATGCAATGGCTGGCGGGGTTATTAGGAACCATAATGGTTGCGTTTGAGTCGACAATATTATCATTGTTAGTAGCAATAAAGGATGTGCATGATATTTGCGCCCTTCTTAATCACCGTTTAATCAACTATAAATAGGTCCATTTCTCCTGACAAAATTTGAAACTGAAAACCTCCCGCCAAAAAGAGAGAGATCAAAGTAGATCCAGATTTGAAACAAAAATGAAAGAAAAAGAAAATCGAACTCCCGACGAGAACACTCACGATCCTCGGATCTCTCCGATCGCCGATCAAATGATTCTCCGGCGAATAAAACTCCAATGAAGGTCTGTGATTCTGATAATCGATAATTCCTCAATTTCCTCTGCATTTGAGAGCTCATTTATTTATTTGTTCCCGTAGCAGTTTGCTAGAAAGAGTTTGAACGAAGCGTTCATTTCACCTACCGAAGATGTTTTACCTGATATTTGTGAAGAATCCATTGATTTCTCTTCGATCTCTGCTTTTTCAGATGCTAATTTCAACATTGAAATCGCTGAGGTACTAGTCTTTACGTTGCTTTCTATACGTGTGTTTGAGTAAGAATTACTGGAGGCATATTAACTGCGAACGTTTCAATTAATTATTAATCTGAATGCGCAAATAAGCTTAATCTCTATTATTGCTTTCAAATCATGTAAAGCAATCTATCTTGTTTTTCTGTGAAAAACACTTCTCAAGGATGAATCGTTGTTAGTTTTTATTTAATTTCAAAATCATTGAAAAAATTTATGATTATATTTTGATAAATGTGGTTAGATGAATGATAAATACATAATACGTGCTTCGTTTGTTAAATTCTTTGGTTTCAGAACCTTGTTACCTTATCGAATCCATTACTTTCAACTTCGTCAGAAACGTTCGCGTTTCCTGAAACTGATCATTGTTCAAAGATAAGCACTGCAAGCAGAGATGGACAAATAGACTTCTCAAAGACTGGTTTAGCGGAAGCAAAAATTCTAGTGAATCTTCTAAAACAAGCTCGATTCCAAGCATTGAATTCTGTTGACAAGGAGAACAAATCCAAGAAGGTTCTAGATGCATTGATCGAGTTCACTAATAAAGAGTTCTACACTCTGCCCCAAGAGATAGATAAGTTACCTGAACTCCATATATATTTATACATGTATAAAAGGTAAGAAGGATACCTAGCCTGCATTGGAACTTATCTTAAAACTAGAGATGAAGTGAAAATTGAGAGCCCACAACTCCTCTACTAATGCTTTGGTTAGATAAGATTTTATATTAAAGTATGAATTTATAATAGTTTAAATAAATAAATTTATTATTTAAAAAAATAGTTGTTCTACCAACAACCAGTTGATCTAGTGGGATGAGGCACTGGTCCCTTAAGCATGGTCAAGAGTTCGAATCTTGATGTTTGTGAATGGAGCAAATTGGGTTGGGAGGGTTGCCCTCGCCTCTGCAGTACCTGATCTGGATTAGTCGGTCAATAGATCAGATACCAGTGATTAATTCGAAAAAATAAAATAAAATAGTTGTTCTTGCTAACCTCAATCTAACTTTATTAATAATCACATTACTCACACTCTTCAATTCTTTTCATTTGGAAAATTAATCTGAAGACTATTAGTATTGAAAAAAAAATAACATGCCTAGGTTTAAATTTTCTCTTCAATGTACATTTGATAGACAGTGATGAAACTAAAATCAAATATTAATGATTAAATTATTTTACATTAGAAAAGTAAAGCACTAATATGTACTTAAATTTTAAAATTGGAAAAAGATAAAAAATTTAATTGACTAATTTAAATTGAAAAATCTAAAATATCATTATACCTACAAAAATTGGAGGCACTCCTAAATCTCTTAGTGGCTCCATCTATACTAGTAAATTTTTGATAAAATAATTAATCCGTAGCTATGTTGCTCTGGCTAGTTCATTTTTCTTAAAATGTACATACTTGATATTTGTATTTGTATTTGTATTCGTATCCGTATATGTATTTGTATTCGTATCCGTGTCCATATCTGTATCCGTATCTGAGACTTTCCTTCATGAATACAGATATGATTATCCAACATGGAAGTCATCCCCAAATCCAAGTAGCATACGTATCATCTTCCTTTAGGATCCTCAAACGTCGAGTAAACGGGGCTTAACATGTTCGATTCGACTTCATTGTTAGCTATCTGTTCATCAATGGAGATCGTTGCAGCATGTATATCATAAGCATCATTGGCCTTCTCTTGTGCCACTTCAACTCTTCCAGGGTTTTCCTGCAATTGAAGGGAGAACTCGAGATTCCAAAGCCTCGTCGATCGAAGGTCGATCAACCCCGTTATCTGATAAGCACTTTCCCGCTGCGTCCGAGAA